TTGGCTGGGGAACACGCTACCAAAATTTCAGCCTCAAAGCTTGCGTGGTTAGCGAGTTGAAACACCCGGACAGACGAACACACACGGACAGGGTCGTTGCAATATGCGCTTTTGCTGCCTGTTGCAGGGCTCTAGCGCTGCACTGCAAAAACGCATAAAAACGTATAAAAAGCAGCACGTTATCAGAATATCCGGTATGATCATGTCATTACGCAGTCTGACCCAGCAGGCGTTTGCTATTAAGAACGTTCACTGTCGTAAATGGACAGGAAACATCCTAAAATTGCAACTTTCTATCTCATCTTGCACCAGAGCTAAGCAACTTCTCGCCTAAACTTTCACTTGTTCGCACATGAGAAGTAGATATACGCGGAAGCCGAATTTAAATTTCTGGACCACACTTGGACACGCAGCATCCTAGAAACACTCCAGCTTCCTTTTTTGTCTGGATTCGAAAGGGATTTCAGCTTTCACGAGTCCACTTGTGATACGCAGATGCGCGTGGGAATTGAAACTGAACTTATAGGCAAGCACACGGCAGAAAATATCCTCCTAAAGTTTCATTTTCTAACCCGCTTAGGTGAAGAATTAGAAAATTCCTTGCTAAAAGTTCGACTGCCCGAAAGTGGAACGTGGAATATATTAGAATGCTGATTTCAAGCTGGCGAGACCGAACAGGGCGGAAAAATCTTCTTAAAATTCCAGCTTCCTAGCTATTCTTGTTACTAATTCGACAAACACAGACATATCCAAACACACACAAGACGGCTCTCGAAGAGCCGACAGGATCCGAGCAGCTTGGGTACCGCGGCGATTGCTGGGATGTTCGTGGCGTCTGTATTCACAGTTTCAAGTGTATCATTCTCAACGTGTTTCAACACTCGTCGCGGTGCATTCGGCTCCCAGTGGCGAGAACGATTTCCTCTGCACCTGTAAGTGCTTTGAAGCGACTAGTTGTGTGATAAAAGTTTCCGCCTCACAAGGAACGTTGTGTGGCAAGCGGACACGACCCAGTGGAAACTAACAACCCCACCGACGAAGCGGTAATTACTATAACTCGGTTCGGCTGGCCACAGTCAAACAAGATCTGCAAAAAATTTTTGCTGTCGGCGCTTGGTAGGGCTGCCTCACGGCAGATGGCAGGAATGTGAATGTGGCAGGTGGAAGTGGAGGTGGTATGTGGCAGGTTTCTTTCGAAGAAGGGGGAGTGGGATGGATGGATTTAAGGAGTAAATGGCGTAGATCTCTTGTATTTTGACTAGGTAATGTACATCTGGAGAGGAGGGGTGGCGCAGTGATGAATGGAAAGTATGAGGAAATCTTCTGATTCTTACCGTGGATACCTGGAGTAGGGAAAAGTGAAGTACTGCTTGGTTGCACAGTGCTGTTATAGTAGGGATAAAGAGGGGCCTAAATGTTGTTTGCTGGCAGGATTTGGGAACAGGGCAGAGAAAGGGAGCGAGGATACAAATCAGGAGCTCGAGGCAAGAACTGAAGATAGCAGTAAACAGAAAAAGACAACATAGCGCCACAAATAAAAGTAAATTAAAGCAAATATGACTTTATAAATAAAAGCAAAAGAAACTGAGGTTTGCTAGTGGAGACTCATCCATAAACAGCCGCCATCAGTAGAGGACTTCAATATTTATGAAACTGATGCTTAGGTAAAGCTGTTTCATAAAAACTCGTCACTAGACCTCCCTACTTATGAAAATGATGCTTAGATAAAATTGAGAGGGAATAAGTTCCATGGAGTGAGCAAAAACAAGGTAGACTGAATGCACGGGAATGAAGTCAGCCTTTGCTTCAATGAGATTTTGAAGGTAAAAAAACAGACGTATAACCGTTGCAGGCTGCGGGAGGCAACGCTATCGAATTGTGTGCAATTCTTGTGTAAATCCAGTCGAACCTATTTGACCCTGGTTTCACCTAAAAATAAGCTTCACAAATGAGGAAACCGCTTACTAAAGACGAATAAACAATTCCCACTCGCATAAGCTCAATTTCTGTTTGTTTTTGCTTTTTTTACAGACTCCAATTTTTTAATTTCGCTTTTTTCCTTTCATTCACAAGTTCAGGGTTGTTTTAATTTAATTTTCTTTGTAGTGCTGTGTTAGTTCATTTTTCTCTTTACTGCTGCCTGCAGCTCTCGCCCCGAACCATTGCTTAGCACCATTGTTACCCTCCTCCATCCTGTCCCCAATCCTTGCCTCCCGAGTTGCATCGGGGCACCTACCACTACCACCGTTTATCATCCTGAACTTCTGATCAGTACCTTTATTCCTCCCTACTATCCTGACCTCACCGCGCCTTCTGAGCTGTATCTGAGCACCTACCAATAAACAACATCCTCCAACCACATCCAATCCCCCCACCCATTCCCTTCGGCCACGCTATCCAGCCCCAAACGCTGGGTAGCGCTACCCAACACGTCTGGCAAAGCGCCAGACAGTCCCGACAAGCGACGCCGTTTACACAGTGCTATTATAATAGGGATGGAAAGGGGTCTAGATCTTGCTTGCTAGCAACATTTAGGGATAGGGTAGAAAAAGAAACGAGAAAACAAATCAGGAGCTCGAGGCAAGAGCTGGAGATAGCAGTAAAAAGAAAAAGACAACACAGCGCACACAAGTAAAAGTAAATTAAAGCAAAACTGATTTTATGAGTAAAAGAAAAACAAATTTATGAGTAAAAGAAAAAGAAACTGTCCCATAAAAACTCGTCATCAGTAGGAAACTTTCCTATTTATGAAACTAATGCTCAGGTAAAGCTACCCCACAAAAACCCGTCATTAGGCTTCCCTGTTTATGGAACTGATGCGTAGGTAAAGCTGGAGCGAATAAGTTCCAAAGAGTGAGCAAAAGCAGGGTAGACTGGATGCACGGGGATAGTGGGCGCCACATGTCCATTTAGCGTGAATGCTACTGGGCCTCGCTACAGCCGCACGACTGCAATAACTCAAGACGACAGCGGCGCTCGATTTAATGTGTTACGCCAGCTGATAAAATCGAATATGTAAATGCGGCTTCTCGTGAACCTACAAATGGAATGTCAGTCGTTATGTGAGTGATGACATTGCTTGCTTCATCAACAATTCTTTTTTTAGCAATAACTAAAACTCGGCTTGGCTCGGCCGGATCCGCTACACGATTTGCTGTCCATTTCTCTGGGCATCGCCCCATCACGAGGAACCCTGGAGCCGTAGATGGTGTGGTGGTGGAGGTGGGAGAAGGCGGCGATGTACGGGTGCTGGGCACGGAAACTGGAGGTAGTGAGGAGGGGGATGGTTGGTGGATTAAGTAGGTACGTGGCCTGACCACGTAAGGGAGAGGGGGTGATGAATGGAAAGGAGGAAGCACCGTGCTGCTGGTTTTTGCCGCGAAAAAGTAAAGCTAAGAGCTAATTATCAACTTCATAAATACGGAGACTTTACCTAAGTATCAGCTTCATAAATACAGCAGCTTCAAGCAAACGAAAAATCCGTTACCAGCAAAGGACTCCCTCATTTATGAAGCTGATGCTTAGGTAAAGCTGAAGATCGAATAGTTAATGCTAAGGTGAAGCTGACAGCTCCGTGCTTTACCTAAGCATCAGCTTCATACACTGGCGGGTCCAGGAGGAAAGGTGGGTTGGGAGTTGCCCGAATGGGGGTACAATGACGAAGGGAGAAGATGAGGTGAAGAACCGCCCTCCCCCCGCCCCTGCCCCTTCCTCCTGTCCTCAGTCCCTGCCCTCTGAGCTGTGTCGGGACACCTACGAGCCAACACCCCTTCCCGCCCCATCCACGTGCTACCCTCCCCAAACCCACCGCTCCTCCCCTCTCCTCCCCTCCCCCCGCACCACCAAAGCACACGATCCAACAAACAGACGCCGGATATCGCTGTCCTGGGCAATTACAATCCAGGCTGGAATGCACCGGACGCGCCCGTGCGATCATGCGTTTTTGCACAGGACTTGAAGTACTCTGGTCATTAACTGCATGAATGGTTGTTGCTTTACACCTACCTTTTGCGGTCACTAGCATAAATCACCATAAATCTTGCATAAAGTAAATGTACAATTTTCATTTAACGGTCATTCTTTAAAAGTAACCTAGCCGTTCAGTAAGAAATTTTTCCGCCAAAACTTTTAAGTGCCCGTGCGTAAGAGCCACGCATACCTGAGGGCTGAATTTGGTCAGTTGTACTTGGACAAGGGGCATTCCCCCAAAATTTCAGCTTTCTAGCTTTCCTGGTACCCGAGTTAGCAATTTTCCCCCTAAAAC